GCATGTACACATACACATTGTATACAGTATGTATGTGTTACAAAACTGAAATTTACAAATTACAAAATTAAATGCTGCATATTGTAATTCTACTAAGTAGATATGCAAACATTCTGAACATGGGACTCAGATCCCAGAAAGTTGCAGAAAGATTTGTACAAATTAGTGCCAGTGTTTCTATGTCAAAAATATAGCCGTGATCACTAAAATCTTCCTGTGTTAATTTTTTAATTTACATGCATTTTAAGAACATTTCAATGTCCTTGAAAATTGAAGATGCAATTCTAATTGAATATTTTATTCAAGGCCTGTATCCATACATTAATCCCCAAACTTCCAGATATTGTATCATTTCTCATAATTATATAGACTTGATGTAGACATGAAAAAAAAACCAAACAGTCTAAAACCCCTTCTATACTGCAGTAGGTTGCAATTTCCACTATATGCAATAAATCCCATTTATTTTCCTTTATCTCATTCTAATAAGGGTAAAAATATTATCTATAAAATACTGAATTCTTTCTTGCACCTTCAATAAAACAATAATGAAATCTTATATATGAAATATATTTCATATCGAGTTGTCACCCTCCTGTGGCATATTGTTAATGTAGATAGAATTGACATAGACAGAATACATTGAAGAGACTATCATTTATAATTATGCCTTCCTATAAATGAGCAGTCATGCAGATCTGAAATATTTTAACTATTTATTTCCCTTTTATTAAGCAAAAACAAGCTATGTAACTGTGAATATGGACTTTAGTTAGGGAGCCTTGCTTTGACTTATATGTTGTTTCATTAAAATAGATAAAACAGGGTTTTTGGTTTTGTTTTGTAATTAGATATTTGAGTTAGTTGTAAGAAGGCCAGTCACTCACCCTCAGTTCTAAAAAAGGAAGCAGTGGCAAACCACTTCTGAAACCTTGCCAAGAAAGCTGCAGTGACTTGTTCAGGCAGTCTCCAGAAGTAAACACTAATTTGAAGGCACATACACACACACAAAAATGTCTCTATAATGACACATGCCATTCATAAAAGATCACTATATAATTTCAAAAGATCTTGCTATATCATTTTTGCATCTCTTTAGTACATGTAGGATGAGCACGTCAGTTTTTCAGCAAAGGTAAAGCTCCATGCAAAATATAATATAAAATATAATTTTCTTCTCATTCTGTACTTGCAACCAGAGGCCGATCTGAAGTAAGAGCCTATACACTGTATGTAGTATGCCAGCACCCTTAGGATGGACAACTCAAAGGCAGCTATAGTGGTAAACAGCCAGTAGAGATTTCAAACTGGGATTGGAGAGAGAACAATCATATCATTAGCACAAACATAAGATGGATGTTGGATGTTCACTTGTTTAAACTCAAAACCTGACATAATTTTAAGATTGTGTTATGTACATGCATGCTTGTAACCAAAAGGATTTTCAGCATGCATTATTACAGATGGTGTGATTGACAGCAATAATACATTAATATTTAGGATAATACATGAGGGAGCAGAGACATAACTCTTCATGTCTATTTGTATTTGACATTTGTCCACTTAGTAATATTGCTCCAAAGTGATTCCTCTTCTTTTCTTTCTTTCTTTCTTTCCTTTCTTCCTTCCTTCCTCCCTCCATCCATCCTTCCCTCCTTTCTCCTCCCTCCCTCCCTCCATTCTTCTCTCTCTTCTTTCCTAGTTCTCTCAGCTAATTAAGATTGTCAGCTCATTGGGTCCTGAGAAGTTCCCTCTTGTAGAACAAACATTCTTCCCAAGCCATAAGCAGATGGTAAGTAACTTAGTTTCTTTGCTTGAATGTTACAATGTTTTGCGAAAGGAACAGAGATTACATAAATCAGTATCCTACAGAGGCAGAGTCATGCCCCTTTACTGGAATGTTCATTCCAGTTCTTTCTCATCAATAACTTTTATACTTTCAGGCCTGGTTTATGATAGCCCTAATCTTCCCCAATATTTAGTTTCATTATGGTTGCCAGTGCACATTCCTAATCAACAACTTATTATAATATAAAACAACACATTTCTCAGTATTAGAAGGAAATATTATTACTGGTCACAGAGAAAAATGCAAGTGTAATGCAAAGACAGAGGATTATTAGGTTTCCCAGAAGCTTGACTGCCATGTTGAAGTTATGGATGTCCAATGCTTCACCTTATCCCCTAAATGATATCAGCATGCTATGTGGAACACATTAAATACAGATGTTGTTTGGTGGGTAGGATTATATAGTTCTTATCTGAGCAAATTCAGCATTCAGTCTGAGAAATATGTTCTGTTTGTGTGTGTGTGTGTGTAGGTGTGTATACAGAGAAAAAGAAAGAGACATGGAGGAGCTAGGAAGGAAGGAACTAAAGTACAGGATAACTTTATAATATATTTAAGGTTTTAAAACTACTGCAATATCCATATTACTCATTGAAGCAAATTGTCACTCACTGACTCCCTTTGCAAAATTATTTGCAAAGTCCAGCTTTCTTTTCTCATTATACAAAAAGGAACACTGAACTTTTAGCTACATGTTCAAATATCATTCAAAATTACAGCAAACCTTGAAGGAGGGGCACCTGCAACTAGTTCACGAAATTGCAGCCATTGCCACGTCACTATGGTCACATGATTACTATCTGGGTGCTCACAATCATATCAAGTGAACCACATTATAGCCATTTGTGACTTTTCCTGCGAAGACAATGGGGAAGCACTGGAAGGTCCAAAGTTGCTCCCAGGAAGCTGAAAGTTGCTCCTGCTTCTACCATATTTTTTCCCTCCTATGTTCAGTCACTGTAGGTAAAGAAATTTCTTTGAAACAATGACCTAATAGGCCATTTATCTAGTATGTTATTAAAAAGAGATTGAGAATGTGTCAAAATTGTTGTTTTGACTCATTCTATACAGAGTTAGGCATAATATAATCAGTAACTTTATGAGAAGTAGCATTTCATCTCATCTCTTTTGTGATGATAATAATAGCTATTATTATCAGTTTGCATCACCGTATTGTTCAAAATAAGTAATAGGCATGGGTAGTTAATATTAGTAATGCTACACGGTGCAGGAATGGAACGACTAAGTATTGGGAATTTTTCTTACCCTCCCCAGAAGCTTCCACAGAATCCAATTTCATTAAAATGACAAAAGAAAAATTGTAACCAAACAGAGCAGGCTCTGGCCTTTTGTACAAGGGAAGCTTGCACAGCAGCAGATCAATGCTTGTTTTGGAATTCCCTGTGGACACCTTAAATTGTTCTCTTAAATTGTCTGTCATGTTCCCTAGATATGAAAGAGTGTGTTTTAACATCGTTACATTTAAGATTAAAACACTATATCAAAAATATTAAACAATGTTTTAAATTTTCAAAAAAAACTATTGACTATACTTAAAACATAAATTCAAACTTTTTAAGGCACCAAAGGGTTCCCAGATCCCACCTATATATATTTACTAGAATATGAATATTTTGGTGTGGGGGCATCTCTGGGCAATGAAATGTATGCCCTTATTCAAGAAGCAAAATATGTTGTTTTCTATTTACATCTCAATAAGGAAAATAATATGCAATGAAATATATTTTTTTTAAAAAAACTTATATATAAAAATGTTCCTTCCTTTGAATAATTTGTGTTTTCTACATTGTTCCAGGACTTCCTTCCTTTATATGAGTCCATTCATAATTTGCCCTTGTAAATTCCAGGAATACAAATCCAGAAAATTTACACACTCTGATTCCGTCAGCACTACATTAGGGAAATGTTTTAATTTAGGATCCATATGTCTTTGTAAATTATTGTCAGAGGAGAATTTCACTCTGTGATATCTGTACTAAAGTAACTTGTTTTAAATATCTATAATTATTCAGGAACTCTGAATAAGGCCAATACCCTAGCAATATAAATTTACTAGAAATTTTCCCAATTTCTTTTTCTAAATAGGAAGTTTCTACCTTTTAAACTAGAAAAGACTCTTGTCTATCATATAGTAGACATAATACTGCCTAGATCAGGCATGTCAAACTCACGACGTCACGCGACGTATCATAGCTTTTTCGCCATTGCCAATGGGGTGGGCGCGGCTCCGATATGATGAAACCGTCCCATGGGCTGGCAGTTTGACACCCCTGGCCTAGATGGACTAGTGAACTAATGGTAAAAAATATATCATTTAATTAGGATATAGGAAAACTTTAGTATTTAAACGTTGGTGAATTCATATCATGGCTAATGGTGAGTGATTTGGGGAACTGCAAGGGCCATATATTACATGTTATTTTTTTCTTCTGTAGAAACTTCATATTAGAATCCACAAGATTGATGAAATAAAATTTAAGTTTGATCCATCTTATGTTGTTTTGGCCAGGAATATGCAAATTTGAAATAATGAAACATTATTTTGAAAGCTTTGTGCTGAATAAATGCCTATACTGTTTTTTGTTTTTGTTTTTTTGTAATCAGAACAAAATACCTGGTTTTGAGTGACATCAGCTTAGATGTTCTGAACACAATGATTGGGCTGCTTTATATAGCATACCTCAGTCTATTGAGCAACAGATATGAATCACAACCTTGCTACTAACAGTTGGGGTGATATGCAACCAAATGGGGAGAGGATAGTTATATTTATCCACATTATCAGATAGAAGACTGCTTGCAACAGTATACCTACCAAACATTACTAATGTTTTTTAAAGTTGTCCACAGTATTTCATTTTGTAGGCAGGTAATATAGCTTGTGCATATACTATTTCAAACAAGTAGTGTTAATGATGTGTAAATCTGAAAGCTAGGAACAATTTAGGTTGGTTGATTTATTGGGATTTGATATTTGTATACACGTATTCAAGTTAAATATGACAAACATAATTAAAATTTGCCTGTAAGAAGGACTATCAGATGCGCATCAGCAGTGAACTTGTTTCCAACAATATTCAATTGGATAGCTTTTTATTGAGCAAAATGAGTTACAATAGAGATGATAGAATATCTGTGGTAAGAAATAAAACACTTTATTGTTTAGAATAAAGATACACTATAAAAAGTGAACATTATTATCTTAAAAGACAATATACATTCAATGAATATAAAATTTATAAATAACAAAACAAGGAGGAAAACTGTCAACAGTGCTACTAAACTAAGCAAAAAGTACATTCCTTTTGGGGAGGAGTTTTCTCCTGGATTGCATTTATTTCCACTCTAATGTTCATAATGGCTAACAATGGTAATGCAAAAAACAAAACAATTCTTTACATCTTGATCCTAGGCCTGTTTCTACCCCCCCCCAAAAGAGTTGGAATCAGTAGGGTTTGTTACTAAGATGTAAATAGAATTAAATCCTAATTCTGCAGTCATATGCATGCTTTCCTGAGAATAACCTCCATCAAATTTAATGCAACTCCCTTCTGAAAAAAAACACATGCTAGATTGAATCCTTTGCAGATGAGTTCATAATTAGACATATCAGGTCTTATAACTTCTGGAATCAGTGGAAAGACACCAGCTGACTTTAACAATAATGGCTCAGGCCCATACATCAAATACAAAACTAAGGATCTTGCTAATAGTGTGCTGGATGAACACACTCGAGTCAGACTACCATTTCAAATCCCACATTACAGTCTATATAATGGGAATGATAAAAAGCCCCGTATTTTGTTTGCTTAAAACATTTACATAGCCACCCACCTTGTACCAAACTCTAGATGGCTCACTTTTCTTTAAAAAAAAATATTGTAAAGTTTTAGCACTGAAAACATTGCAGGTATCCCAAAAGAAATGTATTTCTTGCTGGGTTTTTCCCCTCTCTTTTTTGCCTCCTTATTAAAACAAAACCAAGAACCAAGCCACCCTGTAAGAGGATTGTTGATTAAGCTATCACTCTTCCTCAAATAACTTTATCTTCTGTGGTGTACAATAAACACCTACATAGAGAAATATATTTTATTGGAAAGGTATGCTAATTTATTTCTTAAAATACAGAGATACATTACAACCTGAATACAAACATGTTTTTTCTTAGCATAAAAGATATTTTCACCGTTTTTGACTGCAGTATTATGGCGATTCAGGCACGACCTTAATAAGTGAAAATAATAATGATCTAGAGCTGCCATTCAGTGAAATGAGAGATCAAAATATGATACAGCTGCTTTCTTCTTGCCTTTAAGATCTGAGCTTAAATCAAGTTTATCTCTAGAAATAGGGCAATATAGATTTCTGTGTATGAGTGTCCTCACTCCTGCTCAGCCATTTCTTTTGTGTTGTGGACGCTCTACTGATAATATCTCTGTTACAACAAATTATTCAGTTCAACTGAGGAGAAAACTGGATGCATTTTTTGGTTTTATTATAGAACAATTTTGAACTTATGGCAGCTCTGTTTCTTAGGAGGAATGAATTGAAGACAGAAAGTAATGTTAAGACAAATTATAATAGCACAAAAGGACAGAACATGTGCTTGTATTAACTATTAACCTTCACCCCACTCTAGTCTCAGTAAATTATGCAGTTGCCAACTCCAATAGAAACTTCGCTCTTAAATTAATTTTAAAAGATTTTTTATTACACCTTTTCATAACAGAAATAAAGACTGTAGTGAAAGCAGAATAGCCAGTTCCTTACTGCTAGAAAGCATAGTGAGCTCAAACCATAGGGCTATTTAACTGTAGCCAACAGTGGAATACATAATAGTCTCCCCTAAAAATATTATTTTAGTTAATAGATCTAGTTCTTTAAGAATTCCATTAAAGTCAGGAAAAGTAGGTTTTAATATATTCCCTACCCATCTTCTCTATTTTCACTGTGTCTATTGATAAACACATTATTAACAAGTAGGAAAATATTATGAATAAGCAATTGTTCACTGCCTTGCCAGTATTCACAGGAGAATAAAATATTATGAAAAGATTCCTATATAATAGAATTTATCATGAAAAACTATGAAAAAATATTTTTTTCAAAGTACAGGCTGAACCAGTATTCATACAATAGTAAGGCACTTTTATAACACCATTCTATTGTATATTTTTAAGGAAAGAGGATAAGGAACCATGAAAATATTTCTTTCTTTGATGGCAAGAAGGAAAACAAGCATACAGGGAAGGGAATAAAAACAGATTATTATCACTGCTTTAGAATTTACTGCAACTACAGTAGCGTTAGAACTAAAAAATAAAATAGTAACTAATGATTTGGAATGTGAATGGTTGCTCCTTTGAAACAAAAGCATAAACCTTTTTATTACTTATAGCATGAAACAGAATCGTGTCCTGTCAAAAATAGCTTATATCATTATATCTACATACATTTTTGTTCAGCAAAAGCAATGTTTGGGCAGCTGGTTTCTTATATCAATATGTCCCAGGGAGGGTTGTTTCTTTCCTCCTGTGCTCTGACTTTGTCCCTTCTACACAAAATTCTGAGAAAGTTGTGTGTAAAACAAATATTGAAGAAGCAGTTTTACATCCACATCAAAGCCACAAAAATATCTGGTGTTGATTTGGTTCTCAACAGGTTTGTTCCACATTTAGAAGATATGTTAGCTTCATTTTAATTGATTTTCATGTTTTTAAAGAAATTTATTTTATGTGCAAACCTAGAACTGCCATGAAATTTCTACATTCATATTGGAATGGACAGGCATTTAATTGAAGTCTGCAATCTTTTAAATTCATACAAAAGAATTTTCCCAAATACTCCATATTCCATACTCTATAAGAATGATCAGTTTCTTTGCATCCCTTCATTATGTGGTTCACAACTGGCTGTGTTCATAGCTACCTGCTCTGAGAACTGAATGTGAGAATAAAACAGCAGCACAGGAAATGAAGAGGAGGGAATAGAATTTTAATCAGGAAATTTTTGAGATTTATGTTTTCCTACAAAAATATATATATTGCTATATGTATAGTGCTATAAAAACTTTAAGCAAAAGCTCCCTTGATTATCTGGGAACTTCTGTTCACATACCAGATAAATATTTGATCAACATGGGATGAGAGCAATTTTTTAAAAGATAATTTTAAAAAAGAGTTAAGACAGCATAGATTTAAAAATCACAACAGTTCGAAGTGCTAAAAATTGCAAGAAACAGGCACTAATATCATGGTTGCCATCATGATCAAATATGCGTTAGTGTCCAAAGAATGCTCAGCCACATGGGAAGAAAAGAACAGGAAAGAAAGATAAATAAAATTTCAGGGGTCAGTTGCATTGATGATGGTTTTATCAGGAGGTGCCCATCCTCTATACCAGCTGCAGTAGCCATCTTTGTGTTTGATGCAAGCATAATGCTTTGACTGGTACCCTGGTTGGCCAAAGCTGGAAAGCATGTCTGTCCAGAGGCATTCATTCTTGGAGGTCACAAAGCAAGGAAGATAGTAGCAGGGCTTAATCTATAATTACAAAAAACAAACGAATTAATCAGACATTTTAAGACTGTAAATTTTGTGTTCATATATATCTTCTGAGCGGTGATGGCGCAGTGGTTAGAATTCAATATTGCAGGCTAATTCTGCTGACTGCCGGCTCCCAACAGTTCGGCAGTTTGATTCTCACTGGGTCAAAGTTTACTCATCCTTCCATCCTTCTGAGGTCAGTAAAATGAGGACCCAGATTGTTGGGGACAATATGCAGACTTTGCAAATTGCTTAGAGAGGAATGTAAAGCACCGTGAAGTTGTATATAAGTCTAACTGCTATTGAAGTTCTCTTATATACAAAAAGTAGCACATACCACTAGATTAGTCATGAGGTAAAGAATTATTTCAATCCATTTTAATCTCATTTTCAATATTTTAAACCATCTGGTGATTTATTGAGTCTGGAAATTCTAATCCTAGAATGAGAGCAACAACATTATAATAAGCTCCTGGAGCTTGCAGGCCTCATTTTCATGCCCAGATTTTCACCAAGGAGTACAATTCCTTTTTGCTGCCCCTTTTGAACCATATATCCCAGAATATTAATCATAGTATCTTTTTGGATTAGTTCAGAGGATTGGCAGTTAGAAGCAGGGCATTGCACTGTTCTCATCCTTCATCTGGGGCCAGTTCCATTCAGTATTGGTAAGTGGCAAAGATATGGCTGTTACAGGATCCAATCTGGGTGGGTCATCGGCGACCGACCCAGATTGGATCCTGCAACATTATTCTGGGACACGTATATTCCCCTTCATTCATCTGTGGCTGTTAGATTTGTGAGGTGTCTCAGGCAGTAGTTCTTTTTCCATTTCTGCTTAATATCTACATGAGATCACTCAGTGAGGTCATCCATTGACAGAGTATTAGATATTGCTCAATCTTTGGTTCTGGATAGGGTTGCACTATTCTAAACAGTGAGTAATTTGGAGGTACTCCTAGACTCACAACTCCTACATTAAGAGCAGATGGCAGCTATAGTACATAGGGACATTGCACAGTTCCATCTTTTGCAACAGTTTTAGATCAGAGAACCTGTTTATTCTCACATGTGCATTATTCATCTCACAATTAGATTATCTCAATGTGCTCTACATGAGGCCACACTTAGATGACCATTCAAAAGCTTCAGTTGGTGCAGAGAGTAGAACCGTGGTAGTTACTGATATACCTCAGCACACCCATATAACATCTCTACTTCACGAACTACAGTGTTTACCATTGTTCTTCTAGATATAATTCAAAGTGTTGGTTCTTACTTATAAGGGTTACATTCACAATCATCTATTCTGATCATTTCTGCACATCTAGTAAGATCTGACAAGAAGACATTCTCTTGATCTCATTAGTTGAACCCAGGAGACAGGCTTTTTTTCTTGCTTCCCTTGCCCTTAATAAGGGTATCCACCAAAAAATTTGGTTGTACCTGCTGCTATCTTCCTTCTGAAAAGTATTAAAGTGCTATTTTTTTTCTCACTGGCATTGCATCTAGGAGTGGTATGAGCTTAGGGTGAATTTTTCACAGCACTTTATGTGTTTCTGTTTGGGATTATGTTTATTATTTGTTTTACCGTATTGTTTTTACTGAGTTGGCATTCTTTATTAATGATGAATTCCACCCTGAACTATGTGTCAAGTATACAACTATATACCTTGATTAAATAAATAAAAAACATCTCAAATGTATAAGGTTGGCAGAGAAATCTCTTACCTTGCAGCCACAACCTAGATGGTAACGGTGGTTTAGTCCTTTGCGCTGAGACAAGGTCAATCGATCCCACTTTTCATTCAGATTACACAGTCCAGTATAAACCTTTCCATCATAAACTCGACCTGCAAAACATAAGCACAAATTATCCATTCCAGTGTCATTCATTTGAGAGCTCAAGGTAATTTCCTAATTTATTGGGAGAAAAACAACTTAAAAGATTGTCCTTTTCTAATGCAAAATTTCCCAACATTTCCAATTATAGTAAGTTTAGAAAGAGCAATTGAATAATTTGTCATAAGGAATATTTTACTGATACAACTCTAATAAAAGTTAATTAAGCAGATAAATTAGATAAAAACAAAGACCCAACCATCATCAGCATCACAGAGAAATAATACGTCTGTATTATATTGTTTTTAAAAAGCCCAGGGAAAGAAGATATCTTAACCTGGAATTAAGAGGAGGTTAAAATATGTTGCCTCATTTATTTGGAATGTACTCCCAGCTGAGTTGAAAGTCCTAATATTTACTGGGTTTTTAAAAAGCCTTAAACACACACCCTTAAAACAGGTTCCGAATGATATACATTATTTTTAGGATTTCTAGTTTAAAACCTGACCATGTTAGTGCAAAATAGACTAATGTATGCATGATAATAGACCTCAATATAATGACTAGAATAAATACTTATAAACTGCACCCACTAATGCTGAACTTCAGCATCTAAAAATAGCTGAAACTAATACAACCTGTAAGCATGCTGTAGCAGAAAATTTGTTGTGTTTTTACCTGTAATCATGTACTGATACTTATTGACCTCCAACTTGACTCCACAAAGACTTTCGGAAGCCTCAGTATAGATGTATTGAACATGTGGCATCTTGTCAAAACCTCTGTACATCTACAAAAAGAGAGCAAACACACAAGATGTTTTAATGAAATGCAGTGCAACCAAAACAAACAAACCCCCAAACCTATCACTTTTTCCATTATCCAGCTACTTCCTCTTCTGTCTTTATTTTAAGCGGAATGTGTATCCCTGATGATTCCAGAATCCTGACCGACAGTTTCCAATGTCCCAAGAAGTAGAGCTAAGATAAGTGGTTTAGAATTGTAGAGTACACATATTTTGACTCCATTCAAAAACTGTCACATCTAGCTTTCTTTTGTTCTGGAAAAATTTGTAAAGTCTTCAAAAAAGAAAACAATATTCCTTGATTCTTCAAAAGATATAGAATAGCAGAGAACTTTTATTAACCTTGAGAAAAATCTTGTGGAACCTGTTCCATTCTCAAATCTATTTAAACAGGAGGTTTCACAGGTTCGCATTTTTGTTAGAGCAATCAAGGTGGCATTGCTACTCATAGGATCTGTCATTACAGGGTAAAATTCTACTCAAGGCATGTTAGCACTGGTTTGTAATGACATAAAAAAACCATCTCTGCTTGCTCACAACTTTTATACTAAGATGGAAAGATGATGCCATATAAACAGAATTACTGTTATTAGGAGGAAGGCAAGTGGCTATTTTGCTCAATCACTAAATTACTTTGTGTAATATGTTTCAGGTTTCTACAGTCACTGCCAAAGTCTATTGCTTTTTTAAAAAAATCCTCATTCTTCTATGGACATTAAACTAGTCTTATGACTGAGATGTAACAGCCAAGAAAAATAAATCAGAGCACATTTTTAACATTACATAAGAGGTCAGTTAACAAAAGAATGTCCAGAGCAACAGGTTCAAGTGAAGTCTGTTTATTACACTGGGAGTACAGAAAAGAGCCAAAGTGAGGGAGGAGAAAAAAAAAATTTCTTCAGAATGAACAAGTAAATCTAACCAGGCTTCAAGTGTCCAATTATTTCCTAAACAAGGAGCTTCATGAAGGTTTCTCACTACTAGACTTTTTGGGAAAAAAAACAAAAAACAAACAGGACACTTGTTAACTAATTCTGCCAAAAATTTAAGAGTTTCAGAGCTTATTTTCTACATAATTTTAGATTCATTTGTTTGTTATGCTTGTTGATGCTACAAAGATCTAAGATAGGATAAATAATATTTCCTCAAAATTTATTCTTATAACAATCCCATGAGGTATAATATTCTGGAAGATAATGACTGGCTTGAAATTACTATTGTGTTGTTATGATTGAATATCTACATCACACTGTCTCAAACTAAGCAGTATTTCTGAATGAAATAACATGTGGTGAACAAATCAGTAATTTGTTTCAATACATTTCCATAAATTGTGATCTAGGGTATACTGAAATATACATATAATTGATTCCCAACCTAAAAAATAATTTTAAAACAACATTTGGGCAGAGCATAAAGATGTAAAAAGTGGCTACGAGATCTATTTCATAATGGAAGTCCAAAACAGATATTCTATAAATAAGTATCAAACAAGTATGTATTTGCTTTTCCTTCATTAACTGTAAGCATAGGGAAATGTAAAAAGGTTTGGATACGACTACCATGTGCACGTGCGCGCGCACACGTACACACACACACACACACACGTGTGTGTAAATGGTAGTTTGTATGTGTATATGTTGCAGCACATTACTTTGACTTTCAGAGAAAGATGTATGATAATGAAGTTCTATTTTATTATGCAGAATAGTTTTTTTAAAAAAATGAAACATTACAAGGCAATCTATAGGAGGCAGGTTGCATGAAGGAACACTGTACATGAAATAGATGTCATTTTAACATCCTTATCCTGTAAATGTTGTATTTGCTCCACGAGGAGCTGGTTAGTTGCATCAAATGCACAAAGTCAAGCAATAAATTAAGAAAAATCTCTTCCATTAGACTAATATTTCAACATAAGAGAATATTTGTAGCTCAGGTTTAACTGTGGGATCCTTGGTACTCTCTGACTTGGTTGTTTTCTTGTAGATGTTTCATTACCCAATAGGTAACATCATCAGTGCTAGTAGTAAAATGTCTGCAAGAAAACAACAAGCTCAGAGAGCACCAAGAACCCCACAGATTAATATATCTTTTCTTCTGTGGAAAACCTTCCTGCTTTCAGGATGTTGCCTGTAGATGATTGGTGAAATTTTCTCAATAGCAATAGCACTTAGACTTATATATCGCTTCACAGTGCTTTACAGCCCTCTCTAAGCAGTTTACAGAGTCAGCATATTGCCCCCAACAATCTGGGTCCTCATTTTACCAACCTCAGAAGGATGGAAGGCTGAGTCATCCTTGAGCCGGTCAGAATCAAACTGCCAAACTCCAGGCAGCTGGGCAGTCAGCAGAAGTAGCCTGCAGTACTGCATTCTAACCACTGCATCACCACGGCTCAACCTACCAAACCTTTTCTACTCACTACTATACTTACCCAATCTGTTGAGGATACGCGTATTTAGAAAAGTTTGTTTTCTTTTATTAGTTATTTTTCTCCTATCTTATAGTGGGAAACCTAAAAAGTCTTTTAATATAATTTCTAGAATGACTGCAGGGTACATTTAGCTATTAGTTCATTCTATAGACTTAGAATTCAAAAGATGCAGATGAGATTGTGGCTGCTCTGGCAAGGGTGGACTTTGTGAAAAATATTTTCCCTTCAAATGATTAAAAACAAGAAATTAAGCTTCTTCATTTAAATTATTTTATAGAAGAAAGTGATAAATATATCATCTGTATACACATACCTGGTCATCTGGCAGAGCAGGGCAAGACAAGTTAACAATGGTAAGTAAAAAGAAACTTTAATCTAGCCCAGTTTCAAAGCAGTCATGATTTTACTTCTCTCCTAAGCCAACATTTTTCCATTGGAATATAATACAAACAGAAGGAGCAGGGGCAAAAGGTCAAACTCCCATATTCTCCTAATACTTCTTTCTATCCTCAAGTGTTTACTGCAAAAAGTTTGTCAATTTTCATCTACTTTCTGTTAATCAAATAAAATTAGGTAATTACATTTAAGAGTCTGTGCTGAAATGAGTAATTTTTAACCATAAAATTATTATCTGCTTTTCACTTTTAGGGACAGACAAATTCCTCCTACTTCTAAAGCCATAATACCAATGACTTATTTCGCTAACCTGTTAATGAGTACAAATTATAAACAATTATTTCTATACACCTGAAAATTTAAACATTTGTCAAGTTGGAAAAAATCACTTAACACAAATGAAGAGTTAGGTCTTTCTATGCATATATAAATTAGCACAACACTATATGGAGAAAAAAAGAATAGCTTACTTGTGGGAAATCACCTTTGCTTATTCACAAAATTATACAAGTCATTCATTAGTTGGGATATGAATCTCAGGGGACTGAATAACCTACCTGATGATCTCTGAAAATGTTTTGTTGTTTCAACTCAAAATGACTGGCATCTGTTCACTCACCTTCATTTGTTTGACAGTGTATTGCATTGTCCCAAATGGTCCATCTTTCATAAGTTTCTTGCCCACTACCTTGGCTCGAATAACTGCAATAAAAGAAGACAGGTCAAGTGAATAATTTATCCTTACTAATAGCTCATTTTTGAATAGTATAAATGAAAGAGAATAGTGGGTTAGATTTTTAAAGTTTCAGTTTGCAGAATGCAGTGTGTGGAAATACTACTTGATTTATACTTGAAATATTATTACTGCTAATAATAATAATATGACCAACCATAATTAGAATAAATAAAATAATTAGGAGCTAAACTACTCTGGGACTTCAGTACTCCAACAGACAAGAATTTTCCACACAACAACTCAGACTTAACAATTGTTCATCAGGCAGACAAAACAAGTCTGGATAATGGATACACATTTCCCAAAACCAGCAAAATAGAAGACAATGAACTGGAGAAAATGATCACAAAATATAAAGACCTGCTAAGTAATTGTGATTTATGGGAAAATAAAAACATAGGAGGACCAATAGTAATACCACAGATGCAATCACAAAACTGCTGGAGCACCACTTGAACACCATCAGTATTGCCAAAATCACCACAGTCAATTGCGAAAGGCAGATTTATTGAGAACAGCTTACATCCTGTGCCAATATCTTTAATATTATTAAACAATAACATCTGCCTACTCCAGGGAAAAGGCCTTCGGAAAAACTCAATAAATCAGACATGTCAAACTCGCAACATCATGTGACATTGTGCAACGTACTGGGACGTTTTTGCCATTGCTGGCAATGGGGTGGGCGCTGCTTCTGGATGACGCATCCGCCCACGGGCCAGCAGTTTGACACCCCTGCAATAGATGGATAAAAATGCCAAATCTGGTGTAAACATCTGGTTATGCAATCAACTATAATAATTGTAATAATAAGTCCATGAAATTGACCACTTTGTGTTGTGGCTGTAGCCTTGAAAGAGCTAGTGATCTCTTCTTCTAGTAAATAAATATATGAAGATGGGATCATCCAGATGCTACAAAGTATTGTATCAGCAAATTGGTGGTGCAGCAGTTAAGAGTGCAGTACTGCAGGCCACTTTAGCTGACTGTGTTCAGCAGGTCAGCGGTTCAAATCTCACCGGCTCAAGGTTGACTCAGCCTTCCATCCTTCCGGGGTAGGTAAAATGAGGACCCAGATTGTTGGGGGCAATGTAAATATATATATATACATTGCTTACTGGTGTACACCGCTTAGAGAGTGCTTGCACTTAAGTATATAAGTCTCATAAATAAATAAATAAATAAATAAATAAATAAATAAATAAATAAATAAATAAATAAATTTCTTAGTGCTTTTCTTTAGCAGGTTATATTTATAAAGAGGGCTTTTTATTCCATTCTCAGCTCAGCTAGTGCAGTAAGTGGCAAACTTAGATCTGTTAGTGAAATAGAAACTATATGTTGCTGAAGACAGGAGGGAATCATTATACAAAGCCTAGAGACTATCAGGCCCAAAACCAAGAATGACATGTGGTGATTTTTCCAAGCTGAGTTCTTTATACTATAGACAAAATCTTGCCAGACTGAACCTCTACTATTTGCACCTACAATATTCTCTATGAGCTATTAGAGAGGGGATGTCTTCACCCTGTTCCTCTCACACATCTGGTCTGAGGTACCTCATACTCCTCTGAAATGTTATCACCTTCTCCTGGGAATCCATCTCCTTAGTACATTCCATCACACTAACAGTTTAAGAAGTAGAGAGCAATTTAATGTAAGATTCTGAACTAAACACTGGCTAATGTTCTGTACTAGAAATGAGGAGAACTGAATTACAGTGTGAAAGCCAGCTGAATGACTTTGAGCTAGTCATTCTCTCCCAGCCCATTCTCTCCCAGCTCACAAGACTGTTGTGGTGAAAAAGGAGACAGTAGGCCTTATGAAGTAATGCAGATTAAATGTAATACAAAATAAATGTGGGATATAAATCTAAAATAATACTAAACAACAAGACATAGTCTATGGACCAAAGGACAATGAACAAGTTATTCTAGAGTGCGGCTGCTTAATTTCATTTATAGTGAACTTGTCAGGTACATATTGAGTCAGAACATTTGAGAATTTATAATGAATTTCTGTAAGAAAAGTGGAATCTCTCAAGGGAGGCTTGTACATCCTTAAACTGTTTTAACAAATAACAGATAAAACAGGCTTGAAAAATTTAAAGTTTTGCTGTAACATTTTAAAAGGTTAAATGAAATGTTTTAATCATTTCTCTTTTCCTGCCAAAATTGTCCTACTATTTCATCAAATACTGAGTAAATTGTAATGATCTAGATTTTAATTATACAAAAATATTTATCCAAGAAAAACAGATTATCTTGTTAAATTTTGTTTTGACTCAAAAGTAGGCATGTGACATTTTCCTTCAACAAAAAAAGAAAACTGATGACATTCATTTACATTACTCTAGTTCACTACGTAGGGCTCACATAATTAATGTCAACATATTTTCCAGTGTTGAGATGGGCTCAAAGAAACATATGCACCTGAAAGAATAGGGATGCAACTAATGTATGTGATAATTCGTAATTTTGAGAGCTTTTCTGCTTTATCCTTTTTAGAATATTTTTTTAAAAAAATATGTGTCTCACTTCTAACATTATTTCTAACCTTATTAGTTTGCAACTGTGCTAAGTGACTCAAATACAGACTATTACAAATTCACTTATAGCCATGAATTTTATCACTCATTGCTAGAATTATTGCTGGAATTGAATAATTATCCTTCTTCAACAATTCCATACAATGAAACCTTCAGATAGAAAGATAAGAGATGTTACTGATGTTAATGAAATTGAAAATGGATCTAGTTCAGAATGCAACTTATCCATTACAGGACTTTATCTTTGAGATGATACATGTTTGGGGAAAATGTGATTTTTAAAGACATATCTTAGTAATTATAGATGTACCATATTGGACTTTATGATTTAAGAATGCTCATGCCAAACATAATAAAAAGAGAGATTTGAATTTGAAGCAGTTTGATATGAAATGTTATGCATACCATTTGCTATTTCAGAGTTAGAAGAGATCAGAAAGATCTTAATCAAAAGCCTATAATGTCATATAGAAAATTATAAATATTTTTATATAAAAAAGTCTTCAGACATGGAGAAACATACGGATGTTTCTAACTTATTGTTCATTTTTTATCTAAAATCTTCCTTCAGTCACTTATTTACATATACACATCCAAGATGAGGCCAAAACTTTAGACAAATTCTAAAAATCTGAATTGATTATGACAGCTCTAAATTAATGTAGTTGCCATTCAGTTTCACACCTCCAGTTCACATTTGTTATTTTGAGAATCATATTTTCTTCCATGGTGTTAAAAAGTTTTCATTCCAGTATTTTTCCACATAGTGCATATGTTTATATTTACCAGAATAATTCCTTCTGCCTTATTGGCCTTCTTTGATGGGGTTGTATGAATTCCATCTTTCGCACAAGGCCATTAATAACTTCACACAAATTCATATGATAAAATTACGGGAATATGCTGGCTACATAGTAACAATAGCTACAGTACAAACTACTTAATCGAAAACAATTTTGTTGATATCAGTACGACTATTCTCATGTATATGATACTCAGAAATGATTACTTTGTAGTATATGGTAGACATTTTTTAAAAATTATCTGAAATTTGTTTTTTGTTTTTAAATAATGGCTATATTAGCACAAATTGCTTTGCTAAGCCATATCTGCTACTAGGAAACAATATTCTAAATGAAGCAGAATCCTGTAGATAGACGTGTATGTAAATGTATATTCCTATCATCAATGTATTATGCAAGTAATGGGATCATAACTCTGACTGTCCAGATTTCTCTTGATGATGGTCTATGTCTGCTATATATAAATATCAAACAAGTTATTGGGGTGCATGTTCAGCAGGTACAAGACAAGATTATGAAATGAGTTATGAAATATCTGAAGAAGCGTAAATAAAAACTATAAAGATTCAGTTCTTTGACATATGTGTACGAATATTGCAGCTCATGCACTTAATGTGCATAATATGACCCACCAGGCCAACATGCCTAACCAGCTGTGTATGGTGGCCCATAAGAGGCACAACATTCAGTTTTAAACTGATATCTAATCTGCTATAAAAAGCCTGCTGCTTGGGATTTGTTCTATCCATTGCTCTGAATTCTGTATTTCATTAGCCAAAATTATTTTAAGTAAAAAAAAGATTTCTAAACGTTATTTCATCATCACATATGTTTTCCAGCAAAAATGTACCTTGAACATTCTCTTTATCTCTTTTTTATTTTTTTTCCCGGTATCTTATTACAGTCTTACTATTGCTGATGGGAAATTTTATCCCACACAAGTGGACACCAAAATAGCAGCATATTTTTAAACCACAATCACTTTGAAGTGGTGCCCATCAAAACAGACTGTGAAGAATGTTTCTGAATACTTTGGGGTTTAGGGTCAAATTATTTTGTGGGATGAGAGCAGCTGCTAAAGTCCCACAGATGATTTGTAATTGTTTATGTAATATTAATTTGGATAAGCACATAAAATTCTAGTAATATAAGCAAGCCAGTTAGCTTATAATACTAAACCAATCCAACAGACCAATTGCATGTCATGCAATTATGTATATAGCTGCAGTTATTTTAATTTAAAAAATAACATTTTCCATATGCTTATACATATGCTATATTTAAAAAAAACCTTTTTGCTAAGAATTACTTAGTGTTTTGTTTGAACCAGCTGTCTTGAAAGCTATAAAATACAGATAAAAAGATTAAAACCATTAAAGCTTTGTAATCCAACTTGCAAGGTTAGTGAATATAGAAATATGAAAAAGTCTAAATAATACTCTAGAAAATTACATCTGAGATTTTACCATGATGTTGCATGAACAACCAACATGTCACCAGTTCTTCTTTATAAAGAATGCCTGCCTGCCTGAAATTTTAATAATTCCAGATCTAAAGAAGCATTAAGAACTTTTGGTGGCCCAAGGAAAAAAAAATAGCAAAATCTCCAATCTGT